GGGCTGGAGAGGGAGCGGCGGAGGGGAAGGGAACCGGGAGAGAGCCGGAAAGAGGTCCCGGAGGCCGAGGCAGAGAGGGGAAGAAGGGACGGAGGCGCAGGCAGACCGAGGAGACCCGGAGGGCAGAGAGCCAGAGACAGAATCCCAGGTCGGGCCCCTGGACCCACTCACCATCCTGCCCGCGCGGCCCCCGCCGAGCGGCCCCTACGCAGCCGGACCGCGCTCCCCGCACGCCCGGGAAGGACTGGGCAGGTCCCTGCGGGCGGCGCAATCCCGGCGTCTGCCTGCAAGGGGAGGAGGGAGGCAGGGCTGGGGGGGTGTTAAAGGGGACGCGCGGCCCACGCGGAGGAAAGCCCGCTCTGGACTTTGAGTAAGGAGCCAGTTCCCTGCCCCTGCTGCCTGGCCTTAGGCCCGGGTCTGGGCCTCAGCTTAACCATCTTTAAAATGGAGCTCGGGTCCCCAAGGAGTGTGGACTGAAAAAAAAAATCCAAAACCAATAAATGATAAGCCCTTCCTCCATTCCCTTGGTTGCCAAGCCTCAATTTCCCCCCAAATAAGCCCAAGCCAACCAGATAGCAGGGTAGAGTTATGGTTTCTTTTTTTCTTTCTTTCTTTCTTTTTTTTTGAGTTAGTCTCACTATTTCACCCAGGCTAGAGTGCAGCGGCATGATCATGGCCACCGCAGCCTCGACCTGCTTTGCTCAGGTGATCCTTCCACCTCAGCCTTCCAGGTAGTTGGAACTATAGGCATGTGCCACCATTCTCAGATAATTTTTTAAAATTTACTTATTGTAGAAATGAGGTCTTGCCAAGTTGCCCAGACTGGTCTGAACCTGTGGGCTCAGGCAATCCTGTTACCTCCGGCTCCAAAAGTACCAGGATTATAGGCATAAGCCATTGTGCCGGGCCAGGGTTATGGTTTCTGTGGCCAGACAGGTCCGAGCTCTGACCCTAGGCCTGGTAGGGGAGAGGGCGTGACCTCAGACCAAGCCCTTCACCTCCTGCAGCCTCAGTTTCCGCATCTGGAATATGAAGTGAGATCCAGCATGTAGCATTCAAGGTTAGCCCTCAACGTGGTATATGATGGGTACTTAATAATTTGTCAGCAGAGCAGGAACTTTTATCTCTTGATTTTTATATATTTTTTGAGTCAGAGTCACTGTCGCCCAGGCTGCAATGCAGTGGCATGTTCACAGCTCACCCCAGCCTCAACCTCCTGGACTCAGGCAATTCTGCCTCAGCCTTCTGAATGGCTGGAACTACAGATGCATGCCAACACACCCAGCTTGTTTGTTTCTTTTGTAGAGGTGGGTCTCACTACATTGCCCAGGCTGGTCTCGAACTCCTGGGCTCAAGTGATCCTCTTACCTTGGCCTCCCAGGGGACTGGGGTTACAGATGTGAGCCACCATGCCTGATCCTGATTTTGACCTCTGGCTGTCTCCTGTCCATCCTGAGCCCCAGTTTTCCCCATCTGGAAGACAGAGCTGTACACTCCAGCCAGAGGCTGACTTCCACCGTCTTGGCGCCTCTAGTTCCCAGTGGCAACGAAGGCAGTGATGGGTGGGCCTCCGTGGGGTCCAAGAAGAGGGTCCCTCACCCCTGCACCCTGAAACACTCAGGCAGAGACACTTTGGAGATCAAAAAGATTTTTACTCAAAGGATCCATGAGGGATGATGGGTCAATTCCAGGAGGCAGTAAAAGCATCCAACGAGGTCAGGGGTTTTGAGGCTCTTTGCAGGAATGCCTTGCTGTTGTTCCCCTCCCATCCCATGTACTGGCCTGAAACCGCAGCAGCTAGGACTGGAGTCACCCAGAGAAAATCCAACCCACCCTTCCAGGGGCTGGGTGTGTAAACAGAGTCCTGGGTCTGAGTCCATAGACCCCTCAGTGCTGCTTCTTGTGGTGGGCCAGGGACCCGGGGAGTGGTGGCTGCAGGAAGAAGGCTGGTCGACGCAGGCAGCGGTAGGCCAGCAGGTGGGGGCCCAGCGCGTACAGCAGGTTGCACAGGAAGAAGCAGGCCCAGGTGTCTTCAGGCACACGGTAGGTGAAAGGTGTGCGCAGGTGCATGGAGGCACCCATGTGCGAGAACTGTGCCTGGCAGCCAACAGGGAAGACGGGTGTCAGGGGCCAGAAGGGGACTGGAGACCCAGTGTCACCAGCATCCCCCTGGCAGGTCAGGCAGAGCCAGAGGGCACCCTTCTCATCCTGCTAGTGTCTCCCCTCTCGGGTCCATCTGTCTGTCTGTCTCCCTCTCTCTCTCTCTCTCTTATTAAGAGACAGGATCTCAACTGGGCTCAGTGGCTCAGCCTGTAATCCCGCGCCTTTGGGAGGCTGAGGTGAGTGGATTACCTGAGCCCGTGGGTTCAAGACCCGCCTGGGCAACTTGGTAAGACCTCATCTCTACAATAAATCAAAATGAGCCGGGTGTGGTAGTGCACGCCTGTAGTTCCAGCTACTTGGAAGGCTGAGGCGGAAGGATCGCCGGAGCCCAGCCTTAGGCTGCAGTGTATTGGCACCATTGTAGCTCACTGCACCCACGAATGCCGGGGCTCAAGCAATCCTCCAAGCCCTGCACTCCATCTCTCTGACCTGGGCCCAGCTCCTTCTCTCAGTCTTCCCTGTCTCAGAGCTCTTGACACAAATCCTGTCCCCATAGATGGCTTTTTGGTCCCTATTTCCCATCTGGAAACCACAGGCCTATGCAGTGGCTCACGCCTGTAATTCTAGCACTTTGGGAAGCTGAGGCAAGAGGACTACTTGAGCCCAAGAGTTCTAGACCAGCCTGGAAAACACCAATTGAAACCCCGCCTCTACAAAAAAATAATAGTGATAATTAGCCAGGCATGGTGGCCACATGGTTGCAGTCCTGGCTATTCAACAGGGTGAGACGGGAGATTGCTCAAACCCAGGAGTTCAAGGTTGCGGTGAGTCACAATTGTGCCACTGGACTCCAGCCTGGGTGACAGCATGAGACCCGATTCAAAAAGAGAAACCAGAGACAGGGTCCCCCTCCCCCCCCCCCCCCCCCGACTGCTCAAATACTTCCCAGGGCTCCCCCTCAGCACAAGTGCCCCAGTCCTCCAGCTCATCCTTCGCTATCCAGCGGCTCATCTCTCTTGTCGCTCACGCCCTTCACCCACAGTGAGCCTGCTGAGTCACCATTCCCCACTGCCCTGGAGAAACCACCTCCACCTGTAAAAGCCCAGCCCCTGTGCCCCCGCTTACGGGAAGCCTTTCCCCTGGAATCTCTCTCAGCCTTGTCCCCTCCTTCTCTCTCACCCTGATCCCAGGGGGACGAGGGGACCTGCCTGGCCCTTTCCCTCCCACCCTAGGGCGTCCTGGAGTCCTGGGGCTGGTGTCACTTGGGAGCCCATCGCCACAGTGCCCAGGGAGGGCTCCCCAGCAGTTGTGGGCAGGCAGGATCCACCTCCCCTCAACACCTGCCCGCCCACTCCCCACCCCCACCTCCGCCTCACCTGGCCGATGGCTCCGGCGAACACCAAGGTCCAGTCCGGCAGCCAGGAGCAACCAGGGAAGGTGAGGGCATAGGCGGCCAGGCCGCAGAAAGGCAGAACGTAGAACAGATACATCAGCATCTGGGGCAGGGGAAGGAGCAGGGCACACCGCGAGATGAGCAGTTGCCCAGGGGGGTCTCCTGAGGTGCCCTGCCCCAGGTGGGGTCCGCAGGGCAGATCTGGCGGGTCCCAGACCCCACCCAGGCTCTCTACAAAGTTCTCCTTTGTTTTCTATGGGGATCCCTGCCCCGTGCCTCCCCACTACGGAGCCTGCCCATCTTTCTCCAGAAAGGGCATGTGACCCTGGCCTGGCCAATCAGAACGCTCCAGCCCCCACTCCCCGCCACGATGATGGGTAAGGGATGGCATGTGATTCTGACTGGGCCAATCAGAGCCTGTCTGAGAGGTGTACTTAAGCTTTGGGGTAATAAGGGCTCCTGTCCCTGGGGGGGGGGGCTGAGTGGGGGGAATGGAAGCCCGGAGCTGCCTCAGGCTGACTCTGCCACCTTCCTGTGGATGGAGCCACACAAAGAAAGCAGAGCCCAGAGACAGAGCTCTACTTGAGCTCCTGGATCCAGACATACCTGAAGACCACATCTGTACTTTTTTTGGGTAGGACAATGCATTTCATATGTGCTTCTGCCAGTTTGACTTGTGATTCTGGCACCTGCTTCAAAGCGACCCTGTGGACCCCTACCTGTGGCAGGTGTATGGCCCTCTCCTCCCACCTGCCCTCTCACCTGCACCTTGGGATAGGCCACAGGATCCCGCAGGTAGGGCTCATACTGGTAGATGTAGACAAAGCAGGCATCCGTGGGACAGTCAAGCACCACCTGAGACGGAGAGACACCCCGACAACACGCCTCAGACATCCCTCCTCCAGGAAGCCTCCCCTGCCCTCCCCAGGCAGGGCCCACAGCCCCTGCTGCGGCCTCTCTCAGCCCAGGTTCTCCCCCTCTGCCTGGGGAGAAGGCTGCAGGAAAGGGGACTTTGTCATGGAACACTCAGGCCAGATGCAATGAAGAACTTCCTTGGGTGGTCAGACAGAAGAGCGGCAGGTTCTTTTGCCTGTGAGGGAGAGGAGGGCTAGGGAAGGGAGGCCAGAGGTGGGAAAAGGGAAGGCCAGGGAGGCTCACCAGGCCCCGGAACAGGGTGAAGAAGCCAGCGAGGATGAGGTACGTGACAAGGGCGAGGTCAGCCGGGCGCTGCAGGAGGCCCTTGCTTTGCTCCTCCTGAACCTGCCCCCAGGAGAAGCAGAGACAGCGACAGCACTAGAGATCTGGTATCCAACAGGTGCTCAATAAAGGCTCTGACCTTCTATCCTCACCACCAAGGAGATCCTCCCCAGAAGAGAGCTTTTAATCCAAAGTAACTCAAATACGAATCCTAGCTACTCGGGAGGCTGAGGTGGGAGGATGGCTTGAGGCCAAGAGTTCAAGAGCAGCCTGGGCAACACAGCAAGATCCTGTTTTTAAAACATTTTTTTTTAAAAGCTAGCTCTAACCAGGCATGGTGGCTAACACCTGTAGTCCCAGCACTCTGGGAGGTCAAGGTGGGATAATTGTTTGGAGCTGGGAGCTAGAGACCAGCCTGGGCAACATAGCCAGACTAAAAAAAAAAAAAAATCAGTGGGCATGGTGGTGCACATCTGTAGTCCCAACTACTTCGGAGGCTGAGGCGGGAGGACTGCTTGAGCCCAGGAGGCCAAGGATGCAGTGAGCGATATCGCGCCACTGCACTCCAGCTTAGGAGACAGAGCGAGACCCCATCTCAAACAGGGGGCACCTCAAATGGGGGACATCCAGTCTGCCCTGGGACAAGGCACTCACCATGTTGGGGGTACAGCAGGTTGGCTCCCGGGACTGGCTGAAGACCTTCATGCCAGCCCAGCATGGGACCAGCATGTAGGGGATGGCGAGGAAGAAGGAAGGCCTGATCTCTGAGCTGTATTTGCCTGCCATGGAGGCGAAAGAGGGCATCGCTCAACAAGGGTCTCCCAGGCTGGCTGGACCATGCCAGAGCCCTGGCTGGACATCCTGATTCACAAACACCATTCCTATTCCCGCTCCAACACCCTCCGTGGCTCCCCACTGCCCACAAGATGATGTCCATGCTCCTCAGCCTGGCCCGTCTCATTTCACCTGCTTAATACAGATCCTGCACTCCAGAGGCTCTCTGCTTCCTGTGAGTGCATCCTGGGTGACTCCCATTGAGCCTTTGCCACACCACCCCAACATCCTGAATTGCCTTCTCGACTCTGCCTCCCAAGACCTACCTAAGAAGCTTTCGCCCTGTCCCCCAGGATCCACCCTAAGATGACCTGCGTGTGTTGAGAGCATTCTGGCTAAGCCCCTGGGGTCAGGGGCCCGCAGCCTGGGGAGGAGTTCGGGCTACCCCCCACCTCCAAGAGGAAAGGGGGAGGAGAGGGAATGGGGACAGGACGGGCCTCTGCAGACGCCAGGGAGGGGACAGGGGTCCAGCGGGGGCACATGCAGGCACAGGGCAGTGACCCAAAGCCAAGTCCGTACCAAGGATGTTTCCTGGGAGGAACACCAGGATGCTCATGGTGAAGGAGCCCAGCCAGTAGAGGCCAAGTTTCCGGTATCTCCTCCTGGGCAGGGGATGGAGGGGAGACCAGCAGGTAGCCACCTCCCCCCAGTCTCAGAGCCGCAGCTGGGGCCCAGAGACCACGGTGGGCTTCCCACTCCAGGTCCCTCTTGGTTTTGCCCAGGATGGAAGGGACAACAGGGAGTTGAATGGGAGAAGGAACAGTCAGACCCTCTGTCCAAGGACAGAAGTGGCAGCCCAGGCACAGGGTGGTTGTAAGCAATGACCGGCCACCACCACACACACTTGGTGACATTCCCTGGAACCTTCTCCCGGCCACCCGTGGCTGGAGCCCTCAAGGGGCATCCTGGGTTCTCCTACAGACACCTCTGGCTCTACCCTGGCCTGGGGGCCCGCCTGAAGACTCGACTCTCTCCCCGGGACAGGCGCCGTCCCCTCCCTGCCCCCGCACCTTCTGCAGATGGCGCCGGCCATGGCCAGATACAGCAGGTAATGCACTGTGCCGTCCCAGTAGCAGATGAAGACTCCGTGCGCTGTGCGCAGGTACGGCTCGCCCTGCGGGGCAGGTGGGAGGCTCAGACGGGCAGTGGGGAGGGGGCGCGCGCGCCCGCTCCTTACCTACCTCTTTGGCGTAGAACTCCGTGAAGCCCACCACGTAGCCATCCTCCTGAAGGGCGATGAGGAGGTCCACCACCGAGGTGAAGGCGAAGACAGCGAAGACTAAAGGGAGAGTGGGCGGGCA